AAAAAAGTGCCTTAGCACATGCGTATATGTACATTCAGATGCTCCCGCAGACGACAGCGAATCCTATCTTCGTCTCAATATCGGTGGCAAATCGTACTACATCCGAAAGGAACTCTACACTGAGGAGCGCACTTTGATGCATGACATTGTCGAGTCGACGCATGAACAGAGGTACGTTTTACAAACCACGGTTTTTTCCCCCACTGGCAAAACTTCTGAAATTAACTGATGGGTCAAACTCAAAATCTCCAATTTTCGATTTGATGTTATTGAAGGATTTGGTGGTTTGTGTCACTCCAAAAGCCAAAAACGTTCTATATACAAATGTCACTTGGCTAATACGTGGTCAATTCTGTTTGCAAAGTCCCTCACTCGTTCGGAGCTTTTCGTCAAAAAATTTGCGAAAAATTTGGAAGTGTTTTTGGATTTTTAAATTTTAGCCGTCTACTTCCACAAAAGTTTTTGTGTCATTTACAGAATGGCGCTAGTGGATGGCTGCGACCCTATAACTGGAGAATACTACTTAGAACGAAATTCAAGGATAGCAGATCACATCGTGGATTTTTTCACTACAGGTAATTTCTACTACTTCCTGAACTTCAGAAATTGTTGAACCGTTCAGAACTAATTTTGATTCAGGTAGCTTGCACAAGCCGCAAAACATGTGCATCGAGAAATTCAAGGAAGAGCTGGCATATTGGCGTATTAGTACTGACCACGTAAGTTCTAAATCTTCTTATGTAAAGGTTGTAAGAGATGTCGCAACTACGTCACGAACATTTCTAATACTTCCTCCTGTGACGCTTCAGCAGTAAGCCTTTCTAAGCCGCTGATGCTGATCTCTGAACCAGAAAGCCTCGCTCTACTCAATTGTTCTCCTCAAATCTAATCTGGCGCAGAGCTCGCGGCGATTCTTGAAGCCTCACTTGAAAGCTGTTTTCGGGGCGAAGAAGAAAACAACAACCGCTAGTTCTCCATTAAAACATCCAAGAAAAATATTCATGTTGGTGCCTTCTATTTCCCGTTTTCTATGTTTTCATATGCGCACATTTCAACCTCATTTTCAACACCGGTAGAACATTAATCAACAAGACGAGAATGTTGAGGAAGCTCTTCGTTGCGGTGCCGAAGGCCTTTTTTTCTTGTTTCAGCTTGAAAGAATATAACAAAAAGCAGCTGACAAAGCCCCTCTTTTCTGAGCAAAATAATTCGTAATCATAACGATAGTTTTTATTTC